GTAGTTCTGCTTTACGGTGATAATAAAATACAGAACTGTGCAAAGGTTTCAGACTCTTTGTCCTTTTCAGGCACTCAGTAGGCACAGATGTCAGGGAGATGCAATATTTAGAGCCGATTAAAACATGAAAGAAGCCGGAATAAGTTTTTCTATATAGAAAAACTGCTGTGATGTTCGTCACTGATGCAGAAAAGACACAAATTGGTGCGTTTATAATCACCAGAATGCAGGTACATGAAGCATTTGATGCTCATAATGTCCAGACATTGAACAGCTCATGTGCTTCATGTGTTTCCTCCCAATGTTCAAACCTCCACTCCTAAAAACAATGTAAAAATGAAATAAACTCAGCAGTTTGCATCAATCTTTTAGAGTTCAACAACTTCGAATGAAACTGCGTTTGACCGACAAGCTACAGTGAGTTATGGGAATCAGCTTGTCCTCTACAGTTAAATGTATTTTTAATTATTGAATGACTGGCATCAAAAATACTTGGTTAGGTTTAGAAATGACATCATTGTTTGGTGGTAAAATACGTCTTTTATGTTACAAAGCTGCGTTTTGTAGTTTTCCAGGGTCACGACTTCCCTTAGTCACACAATTGCAGAAGCTTTCCAACGTTACTGAGCTTACTTTGTGTTTTTTATTTATTAAAGTCGATAATAATGCACCTAATGAACCAACGAGAAGCTGGAGGAGGTTCCTGCTGGTCTATAAATGTATTTGAATCATGTGGAATGATAACAGGAAACATGAGCTGAGCGAAGGTCGGATTTTTTAAGTATCTTCTGTAGGGCCTGACCGATATGGATTTTTTGAGGCTGATGCTGATTCCGATATTTGGCAGAAAAAAATTCCGATATCCGATTAATCGGTTCACTTATTAACTTCCTGTTTGGTTCCAACCATAAATACCTCTTTAGAAACCCCAAGAAACCCTTTACTGTCCCACATTATTTTGTTTGTCAAGCAGTTTTTCTTTGTTTTCTTAAATTGTTTTTATAGTTGTAGTCTTTTTGAGATCCGTAAGTTTACCCACAAACTGATCAACATCTGCCCTTCATGGTGATACGAGCCGATGGCTTCTTCAAATTTTGCTTCGGTGCTGCTCAAGTCAAGCAGAAGGATTGACCTTCTTCGTTTATTTACGCTGGTCAAAGTTAGACTTAAAATGTAAATGCAGTCCATGTGCTCCTTCTTCTAGTTTATTGGAGCAAGCTGTGAGTAAGTTGTGTTGTGATGTATCAAAGAGAGAGTTGAGTATTTTGAGCAGAGCGCTGTCTTAGAGTCTATGAAAGCAAAGGGCGGGAGTTTCCATCCCTCTACCTTGCTCACTTGTCCCGCTGATGACTTCCTGTTAGTGCCTGAAACCTTTGCACAGAGCTGGAACATCGCTGCACCTTTGACCTTCCAGTCCTAACCTGTCCAGGCTTCAGGCTAACAGCTGTTTGCGTCCACAGAGGACTCTTTCAGGAGTCCATCCGTCTCCGCGTCCGTCATGGACACGTTTTTCCGTCGTCACTTCAAGAGGAAGGAATCGTCTCTGCAGTTGGATGCGGACGGCAAATCGTGCCGCCAGCGGAGGCCCAGCGTGGCCGTCCCCACCAGCAAGGCCCGCCGGAGGTCCAGCGCCGGGCTGCCGTCCTCCACTCTGTCCCAGCGGCGGCGCTCCAGCGTCCAGCTGCCGGCCGGGCCTCCGAGTGCAGGCGGCGGCCGTCTGGCCAAGACCTCGGCCAGCTGCAGGTGGGTGGGACACACCCGGAGGCGCTCCAGCACCACCACCCCCAGCCTCAACCCCAGGTTCGCCGTGCGCAGGAGGAAGGTGGGGAAGCTGCGCACCATCGACACCCACCTGCTGGGCCCGTCCATGCTGCTGGCCAGCCTCATCCAGATGGCCGAGGAGGAGGAGGACGAGGGGGCGGGGCTACCGGCAGCAGAGCAGCAGGTGGAGGTGAGGGGCGGGGCCAACAACATCAGGATGTTCTCGCGCTCCAGCAGCCTCCACTCGGACGGAGATGACGACAGCAGCGACTACTCCTGTGGCAGCCAATCGGACGGCAGCGAGCCGTCAGAGGCGGAACATCTGGCTGAGGAGGACCCCGCCGCCTCCTGGTCCCCTGAGGCTCACCGCTCCCCGGCCTCCACCCCGTCCTGCTCCTCCGTCCTGGAGGTGAAGAGGCCCCAGCTGCTGTCGCGGCCCCTGATCCGGGCCCCTCGCTGCCTGCGGAGGAACTCGTCGCTGCTTCACGCCGGAGACTCGGCTCCCTACAGCTGCTACCGAGTCGCCAGCCAGAGGAAGAGGAGGAGGATCTCCACCATCTCCAAGGCCGGCAGCCCCTGGCCGGGCCGAGGCCTCCCGCTGCCCAGCCGCAGGAGCTCCGTCTACTACCTCAACCACCCGGGCTTCTGCAGGGGCCCCGGGGCCCTGAGCCCGCTGGGGGCCCACAGCTACGACTCCCGGCTGGAGAGCTGGAGCGCCTTCCTGCTGTATGTCTGTGCTTCAGTCCAGTGTCGATGTTGTTTTATGTGCGTCAGAGTTTCACCTTCTGAACCCTGAAACCTGCCAACGTGTTCGAAAAGCATCTTATCTTTAAAAAAATAAACATTACAATGACACCAATGGTCAGAGCTGAAAGAGTTTCAGATCTTCAACTTCCTCACAGTCCTTATTGTGATGAGCAGCTTTGTTGATTAAATTAACCAAAAATAATTCTCTCATATAAAAGTTCCATCCATCCATTATCTATACATCTTAATCCTCACTAGGGTCATGGGGGGCTGGAGTCTGTCCCAGCTGACTCAGGGTGAAGGCAGGTTCACCTGGACAGGTAACCAGTCTGTCACAGGGCTACACTTAGAGACAGACAACCAAGCACACTCACATTCACACCTACGGACAATTTAGATCATATAAAATTTGCATTTTATATTTTCTTATTGTTTATTTTTGCTTATTTATTTGTATTCATGGTGGTGGGAGCTTCACTCTTTGTGCTGTAACAACCTGATTCCCCTCTGGGGTAATAAAGTATTTCTATTCTAAAAATTCTTCCAAAATAAGATGTTTGGTCTGAACAGATTTAGAAAAAAATTCAAAGTTTCTCTGAGGCAGCTGAGAAGTTGTGATCGCTTTGACAAAGAGTTTTGGGATTTTGGCTGAACTGCAGGCAGTGTACACAGAGAAGAGAAGAGATAAGTATAAAAACCTAAAAGTATAAAGAGTAAGATCATCTATAGCATCCAGAGACACATTTTTTCCAGTGTTTGTAACACCTGTAGTCACTTGGAAAAAAGTTGATTCCATATTTTTTTTCAATGTTTGCAAAATAAGTGATCAAAGAAGTTGAACTTTCATTTTTTTCTTTTTGTTATTTCTGTCATTTTAACTGTCATACTGCAAAAAAAGACATTTCCGACTTCTCTGTCCTTCTAGTCGTGGTTGTTTTGTTTCCATAGAGGTTTATATTCCAGTTAAAAATGAGCCCACAGTGAGGAAAAATGTTTTAAAAACTTCATGGGTTCAGAGGGTCAAACTGAGATCTGTGCCTCGTAGTCGTCCAGTGAAGGTGGAGAGTTGTTGTGATAGTTTTTAGACTTCTGGACTGTGGTTGTAGATGTGGAAGAAGAGGTTTAAAATAAAGTGTGTTGTTTATCTTCACAGGTTAAATATGAAAGAAAGGTGCCAATATTTACATCACACCCATAAAACCATATTCACAGTTTATTCTAACACTTTAGAAGGAAAGTGTCCTAATGTAGCTCAAAACATCAGCAGGTGTTAAATAAAAGCTCTTTGAAAGGTACTAAAAATGAAAAATATGTATGTCAGAGGTCTTAAATATTTTTTTACAGCATCTTAATGTTACAGAAAATAACCCTGATGAGTGTTAATGATGTAGAATGATGATAATTTCTGAGTTAATTATTCGACACGCAGGAAAAAAGTAAAAACAAGTTGACAAACAAACAACAAAATGAGCTCTGAGGACACAACGTAGATTCATTAGAGTGAATCTCTAATATATATGTTTGGTAGTGGGAGACACTGAGCAGCAGGCTGGAGGCTCGAACTGTGTTCCTCATGAATAAATGATGAAATGATGATTTCTGACGTGAGCTGGAGATTCAAACGTCGTTGGCAGAGTCGAGGCTCATTAGCAGCGACGCTAACGAACACACGACAGACTGTGTGTTTGGTGGAATCCAGATGCCTGAACATGTGACCGAGATCTCAGCAGCAGCAGCAGCATCGTGAAGTTTTATGTGCAAGATGTTAAAAACACAAACTTTAAGGGAGTAAAAACTTCAGATATGGATAAAACACCTCATATTTTTTTTATTTGGAGCTCACTTCAACCTAAAATCCTCAATTTCTGCTCGACTGTCTTTGATTTTCCCACAATTTTAACAGCTTAAAATATAGATATTCATAAAATCATCTGTAAAAATGTAGCTTTACATGTCAAATACTTATATATATGTTTGACTTAAATGCCCGTTAACCCACTTACAGCAGGTGTTTCTTACAAACACTGACATTTGAGGCAGTTTGAGCAACAATATCTTAGAAACTCTAAAAGATAAAAGCCTGAAATTTTCACTTTTATTTCTGATAATGTCATTGATTCAGAATCTGCAAGGTTCCAGAAAATGTATGAAAAAGGTTTTTGATACAACATGAGGTCTTCAGAGGTGATTTTTAAAGAGGACGCTGGTTTAGAAGAAGCTGCAGAAACTCCTGATCTGCTTCTGAACACTGAGATGTTTATAAGCCTGCAGTGTTATGTTCATATAAATAGGAAACAATGGTTTTATATCCTGAATTAAATCAGAGAACAATCTGCAACATGGAACTGATAACACATGACAGAATCTTTGGATGAATTAGACTTAATTTCTCTGATTGTGCAACAAAACCTCAGTTTGTCCTTCACAAGAAAACATCAACAATCAACAGAGTATTATCCGGTTTGAACGCTTCTCCTTTCTTGTGTTTGCAGGAAAGCCATTGCGAAGTCGGGCCTTCAGCACGCCGGGACTCAGCCCAACGTGTCGACGTCTCAGAGCGACTCGCTGCAGGAGCTGAGCAGCAGCGTCGACTGGACCGTGAGTTCAAGTCATCGTGTCAGAACAAACTGAACTCAAGCAGCTCAAACAAGAAGGAAATCTGCTGTTTCTTACCGATGTAGTGCAGCTGTGTTATATTTCTAAATGTTATTATCCACTGTCATGATAACAGTTATAATCTGAAGCAAGACGACGTCCTTAAATGTCCAAAGATCTTCAGTTTACTGTCACAGAGGAGAAAAAAACAGAAAACATTCACACTTACGGAGCTGTAATTAGAGGATTTAGACTTTTTTTCTTTAAAAAGAGCTCAAACCCAGTAATTATCATTTAAATAATTTTATAGTTGAAAACTAAACAATAAATCGTTGCAGTTCTGTTTTAGACTTTTTCTGATTTGATGTAATTTAAAGCAACACGTGAAACATCCGAATGTGTTTCTGTCGAGAATATCAAGAAGATTTAATCCAGTTTCATGAAGATATTCAGGATTTTCACTGTTTAAAAGGAGCTGCAGGAAAAGTTTGAAAGTCTTTAATTAAAACTTCTTATAACTACTGTATTTTTTTATTAGTATATTATGTGTGACTTCTGTAATGTTTGCTGTTACTGTGTCAGACTGCACATTTATAAACAGGTTAAAGCTAATTCTGCAGCGTCTTTGATAAAATGCACTGAGCTGCACTAATATTTAATGTTTTATAACTTAGTATTATTACTACAGATAATTCAGCGCATAGTATAGATGCTGTTCTGTCTTTATCTCTGCAGTATTTTTGTTTGTTGTGTTTATTTTTAGACTTTTTAAAAGTTATTTACATTTTCTCAGTTAGTCGATTCATCTATAAAATGGCAGAAAATGGTGGAAAAATGTTGATCAGTGTTCGTTCTCAACCCAAAGATCTTCAGTTTGCTGTCACAGAGGAGGAAAGACACCAGAAATACACAAGTACTGGTTTTGTTCATGTTTGGATTTTTCCAAAATGTGTGAAGTGAAGTCATGAAGTGAAAATCTCATTTCACAGCCACAGCTTAAGATCATTACTGCTGCCCTGGTTCTTGCAAACTGCAGTAAAAATGAGATATAACTAAGATGTTTTTTAAAAAGTTATTTTACCTTATACCTTTAATAGAAGCATCATAAAGTAGCTCATACATAGCAGCACAGAGCTGATGTTTCTGTGCATCTAAATACAAGTTTGGTCATAATCTGAAAGCATTTGTAGCTACAAGCAAAGAAAAATAAGTTTGTTTCACTTGCTGTCAGTCAGAATGAGGTTTTGTGCCAAAGCTAAGTCAACAAGAGGATGATGAAGTGATGAATGTCAGTCAGACTGTCTGGTTTGAAATTGAAGGTTTACTTTGTTATTTTAAAACTATATCCACATTTCCTGCAGTTCTTTTTTTTCAGTGAAGGAGTTTCTGTGTTTTTTGCTGTGCAGGATAACGCCCAGTTCGGAGACCACATCTGGTTTGAGACCAGCGGCTCCGGAGACTTCTGCTACGTCGGAGAGCAGTACTGCATCGCCAAGTCTCTGGTGAGTTCTGGTAATAAATGATTAGACCAACGTGCAGCCGTAAATGTTAATGATCGGTTTATATGTGGATGTTGGTCTGATTTCCTGCAGCTCAATAAACACTAAAGCGACAAAGCTGGAGCCAATATTACAACTGATCTGTAAATCATTAGTAGTAATAAATTAACCACTAATAAAGGAATTAGTTACAGCTTATAAAGAAGTTTTAAAAAAAAACTGGTTCCAGTGTGATCATAGAGCCTGTAAAAAGTCATTTTAACATTGAATCATGGTCGATATTATTTGACTTTTTTGGACATTACATGAAAAAAAGACTCTTTTATGTCAAAGTAAACACTGATTTACTTTCACAGGCAACAAATTATTTTACATTTTTCATTAATAGACAAAAGTTTTCTGTTTGAAATAGCCTTTAATTCCTAGCTGCTTGGTGACATTTTATTTAGGTTTTAATGTACACACTTTTAGATGTATATTTTCGTGTTGTTTTTTGCAGTTTGTTTTTATTGTTTTACTGCTGTTTTAAGTCATTTTTATTGTTTTTAAGTAATTGTCTTGTTTTCACTGTGAAGCACTTTGGCCGTCCTCTGGGCTGCTGTAAAGAGCTATAGCAATAAACTGTGATTGATTGATTGATTGATTTGTAGAAATTAGGTTTCACTTTGATGTGTAAGAGTCTTTTTTTGGTCAGTTCTTATCAAAAAGTCTAATTAAATTGACAACGATTTATTGTTAAAAAGCAATAAAAGGACAAAACTTCCAAGAGGAACTACACTTTACATCATCTCTGACTGTTAAGATGCACAATGAGTGCAGTAATAAATGTCGACCACCTTCCAGCTCAAACACCATAAAACAACCGACCCTGGTGCTTCTCTGAACCTCCCAACTCCTCCCAGTTTCTTCTAATAAACGCAGCAGGTGTTGTTGTTTAGCGAATCTCTTGTCTTGTTCTGCAGCAAAAGTCCGTTGGGAGGAAGAAATGTGCCGGATGTAAGATCTCGGTGCACACCATGTGCATGGAGCAGCTAGAGAAGGTAAACGCTGCAGCAGCGCCTTTGTTCTGAGGGTTTTTCCTTCTTTTTTTTTCCCTCCTCACAGCGTCTCTTCTTTTGTGTTCAGATTAATTTCAGGTGCAAACCGTCGTTCAGGGAACCAGGATCTCGAGCCATTCGAGAGGTCGGTACCTGATTTGACCCCACAGGACAATCAGAATGAATCAAACGAGGATTAATCTGACTTACAAATGTGCTGTTTTCCAGCCCAACGTTGTTCGACACCACTGGGTCCACAGGAGGCGTCAGACCGGGAAGTGTCGACAGTGTGGGAAGGTGAGACTCTTTACTGACGGTCTGTCCTCGCTGTGTTTATTTTTTAGTATTTTAGTCGAGCATAAATCTGTAAAAGACGCACATATAAATAAATAAATAAATAAACCAGGAGAGACCAGCTGTGCTGCTTCATGCTGGAGGTGATAAAATGAAAACTTCAATCAACACTAAGTCACCTACATAAGAAACACCAAGTGATAAACGTTATAACTTTAATAAGACTTTTACCTGTACACATTCATAAATAGGCTTAAACGGTCAATTTAAACCACATGCTATTATTTACGTATTAATAATATATCCTAACTTTATACATCATATAATGTAGGTTCTAATATAGGTTAAATAAATGTAAATGAGTTATAATATTATTATATTTTAACTTTACTACACTATAACTTAGCATTATTACCTGTATACACTGATAAATAGGATAAAATTGATCAATTTAAATCATATATTATTAATTTTAATATATTGTTAATAATATAATATTAATATACTCTGACATTATATATCATATAAGTTAAATAAATGTAACTAGGTTATTCTATTAATATAACTTTACTACAATATAACTTTTTAATTATTACATTTCTACATTCATAAACAGGCCAAATGGATTAATTTAAATTTGTGTTGTTGTTGTTGTTGTTGTTAATGTATTGTTGATATAATAATATTAATATATGCTGACTTTATATATAAGTTATGACATAATATATCATTTTAATAAATGTAAATAACTTATAATAAAATATTATAACTGCACTACACTATAAATTTTACTTTTATACGCAGATAAATAGGCTGAAATGGATACATTTAGTCATATATTATTTATATCAATATTAATACACTCTATACAGTATAATATAAGTTATAATACTAATATGTTGTAACTTTACAACACTAGAACTTTAGAATTATTACCTGTATACATGAATAAATAAGCTGAAATGGTAAATTTAAATTTAAAGTCAGCTGGTCTTTGATAGAAATGTGTCATTAAAATTGATCAATAATTATCAATATCGACTGAATTAAAGCATTTTATTGTGATTCTTTTATAATAATATAACAAATGACAACCAAAAAGTGACACTAAAACCTCTGATCTCTGGTGTAAACTCTTTTGTTTGGGATATTTTTAAATGAGACTGATCTTGTTTCAGTCCATACTAGCAGATTTGTATATTTATCATTATTGTGTTGATATAATTAATCTGTGTTTTAAGTCTCTGTCCGTCTCCCAACAGGGCTTCCAGCAGAAGTTTTCATTTCACAGCAAAGAGATCGTCGCCATCAGCTGCTCGTGGTGCAAACAGGCGGTGAGTTCGTGTTTCCAAACTCTTGTCCAGAGATAAATGCCGACTTCCTGTCTGTCTCAGCGTCACAGCGATGTCACTTCCTGTCTGCGTTTCAGTACCACAACAAGGTGACGTGCTTCATGCTGCAGCAGATCGAGGAGTGCTGCTCTCTGGGCGCTCACGCTGCCGTCATCATCCCGCCCACCTGGATCATCAGGGTACGCAGGCCTCAGGTACAATCACTCATCTTCATCACCATCCTCATCATCAAGATATAACTGATGACGTCCGCTTCATGTTCCAGAGACAACATACTTCACTCTGTGTGAAACTAAACATGCAGTTGGAGACAAGTGTTATTTAACTTATAAAAACTAATGTATGAAGCCTGTTTTCACCAGAACATAATCAATCAATCAATCAATCAATCAATCAATCAATCAATCAATCAGTCATCCTCATCTCCATCTCAAAGGTCCCATATAGTGAAAATCCATTTTTATTGTATTTTGTGTTGTTGTTGTTGTTGTTGTTGTTTTTTAATAAACTTAGAGGTTTAAACTAAAACTTGTTGTAAGTAACCTCAAATCTCCAAACAACTAGATCAACTCCCAGCTGTATGAGACAGTAGTAATTAATATGTCAACTAATTTCTGGATTAATTGATCAGTTGTTTGGTGGTCGATCAGTGTTTATCATCATGACAAATATCTTGTTTCATCCACAACACAAAGATATTTGGTTTCCTGTCATAGAGGAGAAAATAATCACACTTAAGAGGCTGCAATCAAAGAATTTAGACTTTTCAAATGTTCTTTGTTTGCATTCGTCCCTGCAGACGTCTCTGAAGTCCAGTAAAAAGAAGAAAAGGACGTCGCTGAAGTGCAACAAGTCGAGCAAGAAGGGAGCCGAGGTGACGTCGCCGTTTTCACGTGTTGAGCTCTTTACCAGCTGCTGCAGCCTGAACGTTGTGTTGCTTTGTGCTTTGAATCAGCGTTTACAGCTTTGATATTAACAGGATTCGTGTGTCCGTCAGGTCCAAGATGGCCGCTGGAAGCCCTTCCTGGTGAAGCCAGTTCCGTCTCAGCTCATGAAGCCTCTGCTGGTGTTTGTGAACCCAAAGAGTGGCGGCAACCAGGTAGTTTTAACGCTGCGCTTCACAATCTCGTGTTTCCTGCCCACAAATTTGACAGCTTAACGTTGATTTTCTGAATAAATTTTTCTTAAAGAAGAGAGGAGGATAAGAGCTGCTTCAGACTTTGTTCCTGCAGGTTTTACTCTGATTAAAGTACCGCCACCTCCTATTAATACTTTCTGGATTCAAATTCCAATGAAAGTGTGTGTTTGTTTGCAGCTAATACACAGTTATATGTGTAATTTAATGCATGTATAAACTTAATACTGTTTGTACCCCCCTGGTATGTGCACACTAGTGGCTACAACATAGTGATTAGCAACTTAAAGCACAAAATATCTGGTAAAATTAGATGTTTATAGGTGCATTTATTCATTTATTCCACCTGTATTTAAACTCTGAACACATGAGGCTCAGACGCCTCTTTAACAAGCTGCAGCTGAAAACGAAAACACAAAATGTGGCCACAACCCGGAGAAGAATGACCACGAAACGATTAAAAGGCAAAATTAGGAAAATAATTAATGAATAAACCACTGAGAATACTGAGAGAAAACAGAGTTACATCTTTTAAACCTGTGTTTTTGTAGAATGCACGTTCAAGGCTGCGTCGACGCCTGAACTGCTTCCAACAAATACTTTTTAAAATTATATTTATTAACCAATAAAGTTATTTACGCTACATTTAAGTAGTCACTGATTTATGCCATGAACAGCGAAGGTACTGTGCATTAAAGCGAAGAAAGTGAAATAACAACAGTAATCTTTATATATTGTCGAACACTTTTCAGGTTACAAAGTGCTTCACAAGGTCAGCAGAATAAAACAGATGAGTCACAAAACTGTCAGGGTTTAAAAGAAGAACTATAAAATCAGCTGCTGCAGAAAAATGTTAAAATATACTGGAATTGATCGTCGATGAAACAAAATGAAAACAGCAAAGATGGAAATATTTCAACAAGGACGGAGAATTCCACCTCAACTTCTGCACCTCCATCAAAATTTCAAACTGTTAGACTTGTGTTGTGATGGAAGGACGCTTGGCTTTTGCTTTTTTACGCAGCTCTCTCTGCACACTGAGGGAAATTATAGCTTTCATAACTGGTAAAAGGGTCAATTTCCATCATACAAGTAGGCTGAAGAAGGCTGAAATTAATCACAAACTGTGTCTGTTGTTGTCACACAGTTGCAGCAGTTTGAATTCTTTCGCTTTTGTTTTCCTTCCAGGGAGCAAAGATCATCCAGTCCTTCATGTGGTACCTGAACCCTCGGCAGGTGTTTGACCTGACGAAGGGAGGACCAAAGGAAGGGTAAGATCAGTCACAGTCCTCTGTCCATGACCCAGAAATTAACTGAACTCAGGCATCATTGAGGACACGTCAGTCCCTTTAATGTGTCCAATGAGGAGAGGGTTTGTTTCTAATGTTAGCGATTGAAGCTCGTCACTAAATTTTAATCGTTCTTCTGGTCCAAAACAGGTATTTTAATTGGTTTATTACTTAACTAAATTTGTTCGAGGGACCAGAGTCACCTGCCTCTAGAAACCTGCATCACCTGCACCATTTTGATAAGAAATTTAACTGTTTTTTGCCTCGCTGGCAAACAAGGACGCAGAGAGAGTCTTCTTCCTGAAGGGAAGGCAGCAGCTGTTTAAAGCTACTGACACGGAAACAGCTTGTTTCTT